ATGCACTTGTAAGTATATTAACTTCTTAAAAAAAAAACTTTTCAAAATAGGTTTTATATTGAACTAGACACTCATTTAATAAATTAGAGGTAAAATTTTAAACATTACCATTTTGATAAAAAAAAACCAGTGATAACTTTTTTCTTTAAAAACTTACTATTGATAAAGGTTGCTCAAGAATTACTTTTACATTTTTACATATTAAAGATAGGGTAAATGTAGATCAGCATAGAAGAAACTCGCTTCTAGCACTTTCTGAACACATGTGTTATACAGTGGTATAATTATAGTCTGTATACAGACTATAATTATACCACTTAGTTCAGATTATAATCATCTCAGATATGTGTCATGATGACAAAAACACAACACCGTCATCAGTGTCATGATGACAGAAATGCGACACCGTCATCAGTATTGTGATATATATTTTATGACACATTTTTGACAATAGAAATATAACACCATTGTCAGTGTCATGATATATATTTTATGACACATTTTTGATAATAGAAATGTGACACCATCATCAGTATTATGATATATATTTTATGATATATAAATAGGTATACGGCTTGTATATCCTTTTAGAAAGTCAAATCAATATTAATAATATTTAATGTTTCTAATCAATTTCCAGTACAATATAATATCTGATTTAGGTTATGGCGCTCTAGCCTAGTCCTTCTGTGTTTTTTATTATAACCCAAATTTGATAACGATAATATTATCTATATGCCAGTTTGGTGATCGTGACTGGTTTCTGACATTAGACCACATTGGTAAAAAATATATACCAACAATATATTCAATCATATATCATCATTTGCTAGCCCAATGTTATCTACCTATTGCTATCGAGTATACTATCAAACATGTATGCGCAATTGCTAGATGCATAAGTATCCTTACTCCATGAGTTGATACATACATTATAAATATTATCAGGAATGCTATCAAATTTACGTTGCATAATTACTATCAATTAATAGTATCTAATTGCTATCAAGTATGCTATATACATGCTATCTGGTCACACTATCTGGTTATGCTATCAGGTTATGCTATCAAAAAATGTTATCAGGTCATGTTATCAATTTACTTTGCCTATAGTTAACCCCAGATTGTTAGCAGTTGTTAGCTTCACATAATTTATTTAAATATCAGCCGATAATGAGGCACATAGTATCAAACTGTTAGCAATTGTTAGCTTCATATAATGCATTCGAATATCAGTTAAGAATAAGGCACATAGTGCCAAACTGTTAACAGTTGTTAGCTTTACATAATTTATTCAAATATTACCTGAGAATGAGGCACACAGTGCCGAATTGCTATCCTCACTTAGTAATACTCAAAGCATTGTAATAAGTATATCTGTTTTTCATTTTTATTTAATATGAGGATGGAATATTGGATATAGAGATGGTATAGTATAATGGATATGGATATAAAAAAAATCTTAATATGGTTGGGACAGCAAGGTTACAGCAATTTTATTACTTTTGACTTGTTTGAACTACTTCCCAGATAATGAAAAAATATATAACCTTGCTGTTCTAAAAATTAAGCCTAATATAATTTTATATTCTAGAATCCTTTCTTGTATAGCCGTGCTGTTCCAACATATGTTACTAAATATATAATCAATATGTAACCCAGCTAACCCAAAAAATATATAATTAAAATACAACCTTGTTGTCCCAAATCATATAACCAAAATGTAATCTTGCCATCCTAAAAATTTAGCTGTATTTGTGAAGATTGCTGTTCCATTATACTGTGGGCCACTGTTTTAAAATTTTAGCTATATTTGTGTGAATTGCTGACCCATTATACCTATATATTTTACTGTCTTGTTATATCTACATACTTTGCTGTCCTGATTGCATCTTGATTAAAATTATGTAATACAAAAACCCCTTTATATAAAATGCCTAGCACAGGTTGTTATCTTAAATCACATGACACAAAAACCTCTTATATGATCCAAGTATCAGAATATTAATTTTTTATTTAAATTTTTTCTTATATTAATTATAAGAGGTGACAAAAATCCCCTTATCCAAAATATATAGCTAGATATACTCCTAGTCAGAGTATTCTGATCATGTTATTTTAAAATAGCAATTATACATATTTAATAATTGCTAAAGATTTATTTTTCAACTCTTTTTTGTGTGGAGTAGTAGGAATTTTCATTTTAGCCTCAAAATTTTGCTTGTATTCCAAGAAATCAGCCTCACTCATACTCTCACACTCTTTTTTTCTTTTTTCTCTAAAGTTTAAAAAAAACTAATAGTTATTTTATATAAAATATCCAGAATTAAGTAATGAAGTTCATATACTGTAGATAGTCTTGGTTACCCAATCCACATATCCCACAATCGATCACTTTTTTATGACTCTTTAGAGTTGCTCCTTCAGGCCTGCAGAGTAATGGCACTTCGAGCCTACCTATATTTCATGTGCATCTCACAAACCACACAACTGCAATAATTAACAGAGCAAGAAAAATATATGCAGATAAAGGTAACATCAATATGCTTATTATAACAGGGAAAGGCAAAGCCTCAGGACCAGGTCTCATCTAGGCATTCAATTTAATCAAAGAGGACAGATTATTTTCTGATTGTGCAAGATAAGGAGTTATATTCAGTATTTCTATTACAGAGCAATAGTTCTTTGAGTCTTGAGATTAGGGTATAAGGTCCTCACTAATCTTGTTAATGCTAGTTTCATCACCTAGCTTGGGGTTGATCTTAGTATTATTTTTTGATAGTTCAGTAATCTCATCATTGGTATTGGTATAGGTTGAGATATTACTATCAATTTTTCTATGGTGCTCCAAGTCACTTCTCATCAAATTCTGCTTACTTTTTTAAAATCTTATAACTAGAAAATTTAAAAATTTATTAAAAACATAACTGATAAGAATGATTATTTTTATGTAACTCTATTAGATTTATCAGTTAAATTTTTTTCAAACCTCTAAATATTTAAGTTATAAGCAGTTAAAGTTAAGAAAATTTGTACAAGTTACTATGTAGTTTATAAAATTGGTGCCATATTACTATATATAATCTACACAAAAATTGGCATCATATATAAAATTGGCATGAAGGTTAGTTCGCCCTGCCTTCTGTAAAACTATTTTTTTAAAAAAAAATTGGTCTTATACTTTTTAAGAGCTCTTTAGCTGATAGTTTGGGATTTGATCATTGAAATTTATGCAAGTAAATTAATGTATATTGGGTAAGATCAATAAACAAATTTAAGTTGGGTGCGTAATAGTATTGTAGTCTATTATAGTTTGTGCATAATCGCAGTGCCAGTTTAATGTAGTTTGTGCATAATCGCATTTACCAATTATGTTATTATTTTGTAGTCTAATACAGTAAATCGCTGTAATAAAAAGAGATTAGTAAGTCAGGATGCCTCTCTTCCCAATTGCAGAATTAATAACAAAACCTGGTTATTAAATAAGTGCGTAGGTGTTGTGAGTGAAGGTGCGGTTTGAAATGAGAGAAAGGGTTTTGTTAGCATAGAAGAAAAGGAGAAATGAACCAAACGAAGCCAAAAGTAAAGAATAACTTATCCAACATTGGGTGGTCATTACCAAGATGTTAACAAGAAAGAACCTGGGCAGAAAAGTAAAGCCTTCTTGCATCTGGATTGTAATGTATCGACAGAAGCTGAAATTCGGTTCCTGTTAAAAAATAAAAAAGTAAATTTAATTAATCAATTGATAGTTTTATGCATTAAAAGAATTAGTGAAACAAAATATTAAAGACGATACTTATCCATGTTTATACAATAACATTAACGGTAAAAGGTTTTGATTTAACCAAGCCCAATGGCCATGCATTTGAGTTGAAAATGTCAATCTATTTTAATCAAATTTACAATCAAACTAGTTCGATTTATCTAATGCCTTTATAAAAAGACAATCAAATAAAAGAAACTAATTGTTTTACTTCATAATATTCTATTGTGATAATATTTTTTTAGCATAAGAATATATAATTTTTATCTGAATGTTTCATGGCTTAATAATTTTTTATCATGTTTTATCTCATTATCAATTGCACTTATAGCAGTGCAGCTATATTATCTATGAATATATTAATAAGTAATGGAAAGAAACATGTAAATTGATTAAAACTTCTGTAATAAGAATAGATTTTTGAGGTTAAATCTATTTAGATAAATATCTATTAATTCACAAAAATTTTTTTTTATCATATCATAATACTAATGCTAAGACTTTTTAAAAAACTGATTCAAATTTACATAGTTGATATGATTTCAAACAAAAAAATAAAACTTATCATATTATATATTGTAAAAAACATATATAAAGTGATATTTTTTCACTAAAGCTATCATTTAAACTACTTTATCTTTACAATATTGTCTTATTATACTCTATTTTAAAGTTTGATCATGCCAAAGTTAAAATGTAAAAATGCTGCAAAAGAATGTATACTTACACAAGGTAGAGATAATGAAGAAAGGTTTTCAAAAACTATAGACACAGAAAGTAGTAATTCAGAATATAGTGATCCAGAACTTTTAATTTATGAATCAGAGAACAATAATGAGGAAGAACTTGATAATGAGATAGAACCTAATGAAGAAGAAGCTAAATAGTTAATTAATAGAGATAATTCTTTTTATAACTTAAAGTAGGATAATAATGCAGCTAATAGTTGGTTATCATATTATTCTGGTAGTTCAAAACGTACTCAGCAATATAAAAATAAAGAGTTACAAGAGGCAGTGCAAGGATCAATGAGTTTGGATAATTTTTTTGAACCAAAAAAAAAATTAGATATTAAGTATGAAATGTCAGACTCAGATACAAGCGATTTAGATATAACAAATGACAGTTCTATTTCAGAAGAGTTAAATAAATTAAATAACACACTTAATAATATGAAGCATATGAATGCTTATAAATACCTTTGCTATCTAGCTATTTATAAATATTTTACAAAAATTTTTGACTATGAAAAGCCACAATCTCATATAGAATTAAGTCTTGAAATATTATAACAGGTCTTCCAACGTGGTTTATAGATAGCGTGTTGTATTCGTGAGTGGTCAAAAAGTTGGATAGTATTAGGGACCATACCTGCCTCTAGACAAGGACAACGAAAGTACATATTAGCACTTATTGATAACGAAGACATACAAAGCTCTTGCTTATATTTTATCTGTACTATTGGTGAAAGGATAACTGCTGAAAATTTTCAAATTTATGTTAAGAACAATATTTTACTCCATATTACTGGCTCTTGCATATCAATTTTATTAGAAACAGCTCGAACTTGGCTTCGTTATCTTGGCCTTGTATATCAATCACATCAACAAGGAGTTTATTATGATAGACATGAGCATCCTGATGTTGTACAATATTATGCTGTATTTCTTGAAAGAATGAAAAATTTTGAACAATTAATGTTACAATTTGTTGGCAAAAACATGGAAATAGTTATAAATCCTGAATTAAGTAAAGAAGAAAAAATGCATATTTTTGTTACTCACGATGAGTGTATATTCTATGCTAATAATGGTTATCCTTTAGTATGGGCTCCTCTTGGTAAGCCACCATTACGCAAAAAGGGAATGGGTAAAGCACTTATGATTTCAGAATTTTTAACTGAAACTCATGATCGCCTTATAATTACTTCCGCAGAAATAAATAAATTAAACCTACCATCAACATTTCTACAAGAGGCTTGTGAAATTATCAAACCAGGAAAACATGATGATAGTTGGTGGAATGCTTCAGATTTGCTTATACAAGTAGCTAATAAAGCAATTCCTATTTTCGAAGCAATTTATCCAAACTGTGTTGGTGTCTTTGTATTTGATAACAGTACCAACTATAGTGCTTTTGCAAGTGATGCATTATGTGCTAAAAAATGAACCTTTACATCGGTAGTAAATAGTCAAGATTATGTGATGGCTGGTTTATTAATACACAAGGTAAACAAGTTACTCAGTCAATGATTTTTCCTAAAGACCTTCCTTCTGATGATTCTAATTATGTCTTTCACAATCAACCAAAAGAAATTTATTAAGTACTTCTTGAATACAATTTATGGCCTACTAGTGGTTTAAGACTAAAGTGTGAAAATAACTATTATGATTAAAATACATCTAATTGTTGTGCGCGTCATCTTTTGTCTGCACAACCTGATTTTACTATGCAAAAATCAGCATTAGAAGAACTTATTGTTGAATGAGAACATGTTTGTATATTTTATCCCAAGTTTTAGTGTGAGCTGAATTTCATTGAGTGATACTAGGGCGCTGCAAAATGTTATTCACGTGATCATTGTGATTATTCATTGGCACGTTTACAAGTTACTGTGTCTGAAACACTTGATACTGTATCACTCATAACTATACGTTGTTTTGCACAGAAGGTATGGCATTATATGGATGCTTATAGACATAGACTTACTGGCTGGGTAGCAGAATATACTATGTGTAAGTATCGTTCTTATAGACATATTCTGAATGAAATTGATTTAGAGTTAGATTAAATGCTAAATAGTGTGAATTAAAAAATAGGAATTATTTATTATTACTTTGAGTTCAAATAAGTAATGCTATGATAAAAAGAAATTTTATTGAATTATTGAATTTGGCTTTTGAAATGTATATTTCATCATATAAATTATCTGGAGGTCTTGTAAAAAAAACATTCTTGTTAAAAATCCAACATTATGTATATTGAAATATTTTACTTCAAATAAAATCTATATTAGACCTGTCTACTAGTCTACTATTGTAAGGTATATTGTTATTTTTTTTTTAATATTAAGGTAACCACTTAGATCCCTGGCACTTAGCTTTATTCAGATAATTACAATATTACATTAATTTTACGAGGATACAACTAGCCATACGTGTACTTTTGGTACCTAATTTAAGTAGTCTGCCTGGGTTCTATACTAGCTGCCATATCTGCAACCTAACTAGGAAATTACCTATTTAAGCTCTCTGATTATTTAACTAACAAGAGTTGACTAGCCATACATACAACTTTTGGTTACCTATTTAAGTAGTCTGTCCTAGGTTCCACACTAGTACCGTACTTGTACCCAACTATGAGAATACCTATTTAGATCCTCTGGCTCCATTTCTGTAACATGCTTTTACCCTAACACTCTTAATGAGATTAGCAATGTCGTGTAAGACTCTAAGACTTTAGCCACATGGGCATTTATCCTTGTAGTAAACCTAACAGAATGGTACATGTCCCACATATGTACTCACTTGCATGTTCGGTAACTTTTTCCCAACTAGTACATGTTGTGCTGCCACTACCGGGTCCATATCTCAAGCTATCATTTCAGATACTGCCATAACCTGATTCGTATCTCAAGCCACAACTTTTCTAATTAGTTTCCACTTATGTACTCCTGCCCTTGCAAGGTTCACAACAATCCCAGTACTCATGTTCCAACTTCTTTCTTTCCCAGATTCCTTATCAGTCCCTCCCTTACTTCCAGCCGGCAACCCAGAAGGGTTGGTCTGCCCAGGCACTAGGTGCCTTACGGTCTCCCTCCCCTTGGTACATGCTTCCGGAGCACAAGTCCTTTTCCTCCGGTGGCAAGCTGATGGTTCGACTAGTGTGTCCCCCCACTTAAGGACCTGTTCGCTCGGTTCTCTGGTCTCAGTTTCTGGTTCTAAATTTAGTTTTCCTGTAGCACCATTGAAAATCACTGCTACTCCCAACTCAGGACTTGCCAAACGGGTTTTCAGTAATTCCAGTTTCCTGAATTTATTGCACCAAAGCTCTTATTCGAGATAGTGTAATCAAGATTACAGATATCTGGATCCAACCAAGGTATATTATTATTTAAATAAGTAGATATATTATTATTTAGATAAGTTATATACATAATATATATATAGTAAAAACTTGGTTTAAAAATTATACCTCTAAGAAAAGTTAGGTTCAAAACAATATAACTTATAGGCATATTCAAAAATAATGTGCACTTAATATAATATATTAATAGATTTTTTTTTTTTTTTTTTAATATTAAAGGTGACCACTTAGGCCATTGGCATGAGCTTTATTTTAGATAGTTACGATATTACATCAGATTCACGAGGATACAACTAGCCACACGTACACCTTTTGGGTATCTAATTTAAGTAGTCCGCCTGGGTTAATATATTAATAGATTAGATTTCAGAAATGCTGTATATAATTTAAAATATGTTAAAAATCGGCAAAAGTAGATTTAGTTTTGTATTTTCCGTAACATGGTTAAATGTATATAAAAGGTTGATGATAGTGATTATAATTATGTAAAAGAACGCAAACTATAAGCATCGTTGCACTGGCTATTTTTAAAGTTTATTATTTAATTCTAAAATAATACAGTGTGACCTGAATCATACACAGAATCGATTAGAGTAACTATCAAATTTACTGTCATGTGAGTAGTAGCATCTAGATTCAATATGCAAAATATGCAAATAAACTAGTGTTGGTTAGACCAATTTGACCAGTCTGGTCCAAGGATTGTATTGGTCAAATTGGTCAAATGATAGATTTTAATATAGTTTATAATATAATACATATTTATTATATTATATAATAGACTAACCAGTTCGATCATTTTGACCAATTTGACTAGCAAATTTTTGGTTAACCACTAATTTTAACAACACTGGTCATAACAATAGCACTATAGTGATAAATCCAGCACTGACTTAATTAAGGCAAGTGGCGCTACTCATGACAGTAAATTTAATGGCTGCCCTGGTCGATTCTAATATACAAGTGATCAAAATAATACACGAGTAATCAAAATTGTGTGTAAGCAAGTAATTCAAAATTCAAAATCATGTGCAAGCAAATAATACAAATAATATGCAAAAGGTTACTGATTTTCTGCAGATACTAATGATACAAGTTATTTTTTGTATTTATCTAAAATCTCTAATATTCTGCTTTTTTCTGAAGAACATGCTCGTATTTTAGGTTATTTGACTGTCTATAGCAGAATTTCTCAGGTCTTTATTATTTGGCGTATTTTAATATACACTAGATTAAATTTGGCACATTGAATATATTTAGCCATTTGATGACAAGTAACTTGGAGCACTATACAAAAGAAATCACTTCTAACAGATCCATACTTTATTAAAACAACTGAAATCTACAACTTCTCTATTTTTGATATACACCAAGCCAAAGAATTTGTGGCAGAAATCTAAGACAAATATAAATTTAATATTTTACTTTCACTTTCTTATATAACTGTTAACTCCACAAATAAACCTCTACTTTCTTGTAAAGCTAATCTTATTACCAAAGTTAACTAAACTATACTAATCACAAGCCCCAAAGCTTTAGTTAATATGGCTCGACTCTTAAGAGAATAATATTACTTTTTCTACCAAATTTCAAGCAAATAGATCAAAATCTACATAATTCCAAATACTTTAGCTAAACCACTACTTTTATCTTAACCTTTTAAAATTATCTCTTACTTAGAGCAAACAAATCTTTATTACACAATTCACATCTTTATTACCAATCATGACAAAATTAAAAGTACTATTACAGAACTACAAAACTATTTCAATTTTCAAAACATATCTTCTTAATCTTTCTAACTACCAGACCCTTACTAGAATATTTTAGATAATTATCTCTTACTTCCTAAATAAAACCTTACAAACTGGCTTATTGTCTACTAGTCTTGACTTCACCAATTTATCTACTTCACTAGCAACACCTTTAAGCCCATACTACTTATCCTTCTTAGAATATTCTAACTAATTATCTTCCTTTTTTAATTATAATAATGACTTATTTTTAACTACTAAATTTAATATATACAAATATTTAAATATAGTTATCTACAAAGTACAAGGACTTACTGACTTATTTAAACTTCAAGTTTAGTTTAAATTTTGTACTGCAAATAACTATTATATTATCTCTATAACTAAAACAAAATTAAAAAATTTAGCATCTATATCTCTCACAAATCTATATTACAATATATATACATTAA